TCACTAGCCAGAAAACAAAAGAAAAGAAAAAAAGAAAAAGCTCATATAAACAAAATCATAAATGAAAGAGAAGTTACCTCAGATATCACATATATATAACAAGGATCATACTAGAATATTATGAAAGGCTATGTGCTACAAAATTCAATAACCTAAAAGACATACTTAAGTTTCTAGAAATATATAATCCTCCTAGACTGAATCATAAGAACTGGAAAATCTAAATAGACCAATCAGCAATGAGGAAATTGAAGCAACCATGAAAACCCTCAAAAAAAAAAAAAAAAAAATCCAGGACCAGATGGCTTCACTAGTGCATTCAACCAAACATTCACATCAAATTTAATACCTATCCTCAAAGTTTTCAAAAAAATTGAAGAGGCAATGCTTCATATTTTATGAAGCCAATATTATGAAGCCAAGTATTTTATGAAGCCAATGTTACCCTGATACCAAAATCAGGCAAGGATAACTCTAGAAAAGAAAACTACAGACCACTATCTGATGAATACAGATGAAAAAGTCCTCAACAAAACACTTACAAATCAAATACAACAATATTTGATTTGTTGTACAAGGTCTGTCCAGAAGGTATCCAGTCATGTAATATGAAAAATAGAGACATTTATTGAAGAAGATACAAGAAATGTTGTACATAGGACAGTGACACCTCAGTCTACTTCAAAGTACACACCTTGGGACCTTACATAACTCTCCCAAAAGCCATCAGCTGCCCTGTTGTATTTTCCTGAATCTCATCAATGATCTGAAGTCTCTTCCCTTTCAAAGGTGATTTTAGTTTTAGGAAAAGCCAGAGGTCATATGACACCAAATCTGGGATGTAGGGGTTCTGAATCACTTGGGTGATTTGATGTTTCACAAAAAAAACTCTTCATGAGATGTGCTCCATGAGTGGGCAAGTCATTGTGATGAAGCTGACAACAACCAGTTTCCCATAGTTGAGGCCTTCTGAATCATCCAAATAGCTTCTGTGGAGGAATGTTCAAGCTTAACTCAAAATGTGATGCAGGTTCATTGCTTGACTCAGTCATTTTGAATGTTACGGTCACACAGTACACATGCTCACTCAATAGTATCTACCTCCCCCACTGGCTAATACAATGAAGTTGTCATTGTTCACGCATGTGCACTGCAGTGCTCTCTTTGGCTGCCAGGTTACATTGAAGTCACACAAACCATTCTCATTGTATTAACAAAGGCTGGACTTTTTCCAGACAGACCTCATATACCACAGGCAAGTAGGGTTCATTTCAGGGGCACAAGGAAGTTTCAACATATGCAAATTGATCAATGTAATAGACCACATTAGCAAAACAAAGGATAAAAACCAGATGATCTTACCAATAGATGCAGAAAGAGCACTTAATAAGATAAAGCATTTAATCTGTGATTAAAACACTCAATAAAACAGGTATAGAAGGAAAGTATCTCAACATAATAAAGGTCTTATATGACAAACACTCAGCATATCATACTCAATGGTGAAAAACTGAAAGACTTTCTTCTAATGCCGGGAACAAGACAAGGATATCCACTCACCACTCTCATTAAACATATTACTAGAAGTCCTAGACAGAAAAATTGAGCAAGAGAAATAAATAAAATACATACAGTTTGGGAATTAAGAAGTAAAAGTGTTGTTTTTTGTAAATGACATGATTCTGTATGTAGAAAACCACAAAGACTCCACCAAAAAAAAAAACAAAACCCCAAAACAACTATTGGAAACAATAAACAAATGGTAAAGTTGCAAGATACAACATCAATTTACAAAAATCCACTGCATGCCTATATACTAACAATGAAATTTTAGAAAAGGATATTTAAAAAAACAATTCCTTTTTCAATTGCAACAAAAAGAATAAAATACCTAGGAATAAACTTAACAGAATGAGGAAGACATACATACTGAAAACTTCAAAGCATTATTAAAGAAATTTAAAAAGACACAATAAAATGGAAAGATATTCTGTGTTTATGAATTGGAAGAATAGACATAGGTAAAATGCCCATATCACTCAAAGCAATATACAGATTTAGTGCAATCCCTATCAAAATCCTAATGGCATTTTTTAAAGAAATAGGACAAAAAAACTTACCACATTGCATGGAACCAAAAAGGACCCTGAATAGCCAAAGCAATCTTGATAAAAAAAGGACATAGGCAGAGGTATCATACTCCCAGACTCCAAATTATACTACAAAGAGACAGTGATCAGAACAGCTTGGTATTGGCAGAAAAATAGACACATAGAACAATGAAACAGAATTGAGAGCCCAGAAAAAAATCCCACATACATATGGGCAAATGATTTTTGACAAAGAAGCAAAAACATACAATGGAGAAAAGAAAGCCTTTTCAATGAATGATGCTGGGAAAATTAGAAAGCCACATGCAAAAAAATATTAAACTACATATATTTTGTCCCCATTTACAAAAATTAATTCTAAATGGATCAGAGGCCTAAATATACGATCTTAAAAAATAAATTACATAGAAAACATGGGTACTAAAATCATGGTTCTTGCTTTTAGGGATTTTGTGACTTTGACTCCAAAGACAAGGAAAGTAAAAGCAAAAATAAATTAATGGAACTATATATAAAAATAAAAAAAGCTTCTCCACAGAAAAAGAAACCATCAACACAACAAAAAGACAGCCAACCAAAGGGGAGAATATATTTGCAAACAACAGTTCTGACCAGGGGCTAATAGCTAAAATATATAAAGAAGTTCTGCAACTACATACACAAAAACACTCAATTCAATTTAAAAATTGACAGAGGACCTGAACAGACACTTCTCCCAAAAATATATACAAAAGACCAATGGGTATATGAAAATATGCTCAACTTCACTAGCTATTAAAGAAACACACATCAAAATTATAATGAGATATCACTTCACACCTATTAAAATTGTCAGTATCCACATGACAGGTGTCAGAGAGGTTGTGGAGAAAAAGGAACCCTCATTCACTGCTGGTGGGAATGTAAGCTGGCACAACTACTATGGAAAACAGTATGCTGTTTCCTCAAAAAATTAAGAATAGAGTCACCATATGACCCAGCAACTCTCTTCTGGGTATCTACCTGAAAAATTTGAAAGCATTTATTCTTCAAGAAATATGCATCCCTATGTTCATTGCAGCATTACTCACAATGGCCAAGACATCGAGACAACCAAAGTGTCCTTCAATAAACTATTGGATAAAGAAGATGTGGTGCATATACACAACTGAATATTATTCAGCCATAAGAAAAGATGAAATGTTGCCATTTACGACAACATTGGTTGACCTTGAGAATAGCATGCTAAACAAAATAAGTCAGACAGAAAGAGTTAAGAACCATATGATTTCACTCATATGTGGGTCATAAAACAAGAAAAACAAACAAACAAACAAAACTACACACACACACAACAGTATAGTGGTTACTATATGGAAGAGAGGTGGGGAGTGTAGTAAAAGGTAAAGGGGTTAAAATATATGGTGACAGAAGACGATTTGACTTTGGGTGGCAGGCATGCAATGCAATATGATCATGTATTATAGAAATATACACTTGAAACTTATGTAGTCTTATTAATGAAAGTCACACCAATAAATTCAATTAAAAGAAAAAATAAAAATAAAAGCTGTGAAAAAATATAACAGACCATAAAGATATACCCCAAAACTATTTCTTGTATATTTTTAAGTAACAAAAAAGATATTTAGATATTGTATAAGTCCAATGATCTCATTTTACAGATAGACAAGAGGATTTTTGAGATTTAGCTATTTATTGAAACACTTAGGTAATAAATCCCACTTCATAAATCAGTTTAAATTTTTTAATGAAATATTTGACTAGCTTATGCTGAGGTGAAGGGTGGTTCTTATAAAGACAATGTCCAGGGTCTGTCTGAGTCAGAGCAAAGACACTTGAGGGAGATCATGGTGCTAGAACTTTTTCAGGATGTCTCTATCTGAACCAAACTTTGTCCACACAGATATTAGAGAGTAGTTTTTGTTTTCAAATATTTCTTTTAATCACTTTTTATTTGGGTGGCTTGTAACATCCACGACCCAAGTTAATGAGAGCGCTGGACAAGTGGGAACATGAGTTGCTCCTTCCTGGCTCTGAGCAAGAGCCGTTTCCAGTGTGTGGTTCAACCTGGGAAGACTTTGGTAAGATACCATGTAGGTGTCAGTACTGAGCTTATCTCTTTTCCGTGGTGAAGAGATTAGCCTCTAAGGTACAGAGTTCACTTAGGATGCCAGTGGTTGAGATATTTTGTGAGCTGCAGCCTTGTTTGCCAGGCACCTTGTCCCACCGCCTTATACCACCTCCCATTTCTGAGCAACCATTGAACAAGGGCTCCCTGGGCCCAATGTGATGTTCTAACCCACCTTCCATTTCACTCTCTCCATTTTTCCATGTATGCATGGAGAGTAAATACTTTCCTTACCTTCCCCCACACAGTGCAAAAAGATGAGCCATGAATATATTATGAAACAAGATCTCAAGCCAATTTATTTAGTACACTATGTTTCACACAGCATAAACATAGCAATCATCCTCTATTTCCCTCCCTGATTGAATATCTGAAAACAACACCAAGCAAATGGACAGAACACTGCACACACCTAGCATGACTGTGACCATCAGCTGCACAGCCCATTGCACAGCAGCAAAGTTGCCTTTTCTGACACAAGTCTGTGGAACTAGGAAGATAGGAGTTTCCCTTTCCTTGTCTCACAGAGAAACTGTCAGTTTTATATACCTTCACATCCTCTCCTACTTCTCTTACTTTGCAAAACTGTTTTCTCTGTCTAGACTTTAGGTCATCTCTACACACCATTCCTTTTTATTCTCCCTATGTGATATTAAGTGTCATCTAAATGAGATAATATTGACAAATATTTGATTTTAAGCATTTAGATTCATTATATTTTAAACATAATGGTGATTAAGATTTCATCTTTTTTTCAGTTATAATAAATGTTAAAGCATGTAACAAATATGAAATTAAGAACAGCCTTGGACAGATGATTTACTTTGCTGTGGAAGAAAATGATTTCTGTACCCGAAATTGCTGTGGCTATTGTAGGCCTTTTACCATGAGAATTCTTGATCTTAGGGGCCAAGAGGTCATTACTCTGGAGAGACCACTAAAGTGTTCAGGCTGTTGTTGCCAGTACTGCCTTCAGCAGGTCAGTGAGCAGTTACCTGGGTAATTTGTAAAGTAGTTCAACAGAATTTTCACCCTTGCATTGAATCTTTATGATCAAATGAGGTTTTCTAAAAATTGGTCAGTGAGCTGTTCTATGCTTGGTAGTAATGTGGACAGGAAGGATGGCAGGTGAGAAACAGTGACCCGTAAGCCCCATGTCCCTGAGAAGTTTGTCTCATGGGACTGAGCATCTGCTCAGAAACCAGACTTCCTAGTCTTTGAGGAGAGCTGAGAAGATAAGGCACCTTGGTCATGTCCCTTACTGGAAGCGACCAGCAGAAAAGCCCAGCCAGAGCCAAAGGAGGGAACCACAGACAACATCCTAGAAAACAATTCCAGGAGCAAGCGCACAGAAGAATGAGAAAAAGAACACACAGTCATCTCACAATTTGGCCAACCTATCATGGAACAAACCTAGGAGAGACCGCCTCTGAGAAATCTCAACTCCTGTGTTCTTAATATTCCCACTTTTAAAAACTAATGTATTTGAGGCTCTGTAGTGGAGATATGCTAGGTGTGGGTACTTTCAGGTCTGGAAAGACCAGGTGTCTGTTTCATATTACTTGCCAGCCCACTGACATACAATGTGGATCTCAGGGGAGACACCAGGGCATGGAGAGTTCACAGGAAAGTTGGGCTTTGCCTACACCCTCCTGGGGTGAGACGAGCCCTGCCTGAGACCAGCCCTGCCTGAGACCAGCCCTGCCTGGCTAGTCATCCCAGTCAACCAGCTCTGAGACCATGACCCAGACAGAGGCACATGCACATAGACATTTGAATTCTGGTGCTGCATTTATTTTTGACGGATAACTGAGGTTATTCCTACTGAATTATTTTGGGTATTTTTTATGGCATTTAGGTTAGATATAATAGTGCCTGTCCATAGGAACATCTGAGGAAAAACTGAGTGAGGAAATATGCTCTAAATGTAAAGAGCACAGTAACACACATGACACTATTGATCTTTGAAAACAGTCAAAGAAGATGACATTTACAAGTGACCGTGCTGTACCCTTAGGTCACCCAACTAATAGCAGAGTCAAGATCCTAGTCCATTTCCCATATAGAACCCTTGCCACTCATATTGGAAAACTGAACAGAGTTCTGTTCACACATCTAAACCATTGTTTTCAGAGGAGTTTGAGAAAAGAATTCCTTCATAACTTAGACAGGTTTCTTAAGTATGGAAATATAAAAATGTACAAGGTCAGTGCTTAAGAGTGGAGTCCATATGTGCAGCCTGCCGGAGTTTGTGTCTCATGTCTTCCACATTGTAGCTGGGGAATCTGATACAAGTTAATGAACCTCTCTGTTATTCATATATTTTCTCTATAAATAGGAATAATAGTACAAATCCAGAACAAATCCAGTTCTGAGTTTCAAGTATTTGTACAAATAGTACAAATAGTAAGTGTTTGTTGTCAAACAACAGTGTTGCAAGAGCAGTATCTTATACTTAGAAGTGGGCAAAGGAGCTAGATAGGCATTTCTCCAAATAAGACAGAAAAATGTCTTACAGATATTTGGTTACTGTGAATATGCTTCAATTAACATGGAAAGGTAGATATCTCTTTGAAAATCTGATCACATTTCCTTTGCATGCATACCAGAAGTAGGATTGGATGGCCCACAGATATTTGAAAAACGGTTCAATATAACTAATTATTAAGGAAATTAAAATCAAAACCACAGTATGATCACATTGCACCTGATAGAAATACTGTTATGAAAAAAATACATAATATGGCAAGTTTGTGGAGAAAAGGAAATCCTTGTACATTGTTGGTGGGACTATATATAAGTTGTTATAGCCACTGTGGAAAAGTGCCTTCAGAATCATATGATCCAATCCTACTTCTGGTATGCATGCAAAGGAAATGTGATCAGATTTTCAAAGAGATATCTACCTTTCCATGTTAATTGAAGCATATTCACAGTAACCAAAATATAGAAACAACCTAAGTGTTTACTGATAGATGAGTGGATAAGAAAATGTGATATAAACATGAGTATGTATAATGGGATATTATTCAACCAAACAAAAGAAAAAAAACCAAACCCTGCCTTTAAGACAACATGGATGCATTTAGAGGCATTATGCTAAGTGAAATAAGTCAGACAGAAACAAGCAAGTGCAGTGTAGTATCACTCATACTCTGAATTTAATTAAAAAAAAATCTAACTCATAGAAACAGAGATTTGAATAGTGGTTGCCAGGGACTGGGGAAGGGAGGATGGAAAAATTTTGGTCAAACTGTACCAACTTTTAGTTATAAGATGAATGAGTTCTGAGTTTCAAATATACAGCATAGTTATCATGATAACTATGCTGTATATTTGATATTTTCTAAGAGAGATCTCAAGCATCACTATATGAGTTGACAGATGTGTTAACTAACTTGGTTGTGATAATCATTTTACAATGCATATGTATACCAAATCAGTACATTGTAGACTTTAAATATAATTATACCTGTCAGTTATACCTCAGTAAAGCTGGAAAGGAGTAATATTGCTCATTTTAAAGCAAGTACTCAGTAAGTGAGAGTTCATATTATTATTATATCAATGATGATGATGATGATGATGATGATGATGACATTGATAATTATGTGTTACATATATTCTTTTGCTTTTGTAGATAAAAATCTACTCTCCTCCTGGTACACTAATAGGTTCTGTTATTCAGACTATGCACCCATATCTGCCTAAGTTTACAATTCAGAATGAGAATAAAGAGGACATACTAACAATTATTGGCCCATTTTTTGCATGCAAATGTTGTGGAGATATTGATTTTGAGGTAAGTGATATAATCATTTTACTAAAATTTGATTTACAAATATAAAGAGAATATAATTTTGTAAGATGTTACAAATATATTAAATAAATATGTGTATCCTAATATCTCAAGAGGGAGGCAGTGTGTTCATATAAGTAACTTTAGTCAGAAAGGTAGTTATTAATCTCATTGAGCTTCAGCGTTGATTATGCTAATAGAAAAAAATGAAGCAGAGCCTTACAGTCAAGTAAATATAAATAAAACAACTAACATTTAACCATGGTGGATTCTGTGTGGAGATGCTCTATATTATCCATTTTGAACACAACATTAACTCTGTCATCAGTGTCTGACTGCCAAAGCCTTGTGCAGCCTTCCTGAGCCTTACACACATGTCAGTGCCCTCGGCCCTCTTCAGAAGGTCTGACATCTTTGAGTTTCTATAAAAAGTCCAATGATGCAAGGAGAGTTTTCAGGAAGATAGTGTAAGATGTACCACCCAGTTATGCTTCTCTATGGTCTCTGTTTTATATTTGTATTAAATTTGGTGATTATAAACCAAAATATATCTATGCTCTTACTGTATGAAGCAATTTTATTACGGCAGTCTTCCAACAGACTGTCTAGCCATAAGCTCAAATAATTTAGTTGCAAATGTTTAAAAATCATAAGGTTTTAGAACATAATCTTGATATTATGATTCTGTTGGAAAATTATAAAATCTGTTAAACCAAGCCCACATTTCCACAGAAAGGGCAAAAATCTGTAACTGAGTAGGGATGCCACCCTCTGAAAAGATGTGGGAATTCTGCCCCTTTCCTAACTTTCTCAGTTTCCCACTGTCCCCTTTATTTTATATATTGTCTGCCTTACTTTATTAGTTGTATGATTTTCAATTCTGTTACAGCCTGCTTGTGTAAAGATGAATCATTTCCTTAATGGACTTAATAGACTAATGATAGAGATGGATAAACCTAAGAAAACACACATAATATAAAGAGCCTTTATAAAGGCTCTTTTAAAGGGATATGTATAATGTGTATGTTTGTGCGTGTGTGTGATATGAATGTATAAGAACTTTATAGAGATGTATGTATAATAATAGTTCTTCATGCAGGGTATGGCATACTTATCACACATCCAGACTAGTGGAAAGATAATTGTTCATTCACAGAACAATATTAACAGAAGTTTATCTGGCATGAATTATTTTGGAGAAATTGGTGAAAACACTAGAAAAGAAGCATGAAATTATTATATTTAATGCTAATGAATTTAGATTTCATCCAGTAAACTTCCACAATAGAATCCTTGGAGCATTCATCATATGTAATACACTAACTTTTCTCCTATGCATCCAGAATGCTGATAACTAGGTACCATCTTTCAGAGCACTGAGAAATAGTCATTTGAATCAATCTATGATGGCAGGTCTGACACCTTAAATCTGGAATTTTGAGTATGAGGGACCTCTATGGATCATGGACTTCATCATGGTGTCAGTAGTTATGGAAACTTGGAGTAGAAGAGATAAAAGACTGAACACAGCAAGAGTCCTTCTATAGGAAGAAATAATTCAATGAAATTTCAGAAGTATACTGAATGGAGCTGTCTTATGAATAGGATGTCCATTGAGGAGGAAAGAAAATTTAGAGATGAATCCGATGTCTGAGAATTAAGAACCTGAAATAATGCTTTGGCAAAGACAATAATCTTGAAGGGAGAACAGTTCATTTGTGGGAAGCTAATGATTTGTATTTGAGTTATATTGAATTTTACATATGAAGAGGAAAATATTGGGGGAGTTTTCTGCATACAGATGGTAGTTTAAACCATGAGAAGATTATCCCAAGGATGAGTATAAGACAAATAGACTTTCCTCTGCATCCCATGGAGATTGTAAGGGAATCTGTCTCCTTCCAGGACTCTTGGTAGGGGAAAATATTCATACATTAATCTGATATCCCAATCCAGGTCCCTCTATGAAGATGAAATCTGAATTCACAAAATCACAATGGTATGTTCAGGAATCTCAGATCATAAAAATAGATGCTGAGTGGTGATAGAGATAGCAGGATAAAATGTGAAAGCACACTAGAAGTAGATTAATCACCAACAGCACCCTCTATTTCCACAGGAAAAAAAACAAACCCTATCTTTACATGAACAGATTCAAAAGTTACATAACTCTCTGGAAACTAATCCAAAAACAAACAACATGTAACAGAATAGCCTGCAATCATACAATAAACACTTAAAAACAAAAGTAAAGAGATTAAACAAAAGAGGGAAGAATAAAACTAATAATAAAGGACAGTACAATTTGAAGACAAGCCAGAAATGAGAAATAGTTATTAATAAATCTCATTGGAAAGGTTGAGGTGAAAATTAGAGGTGAAGAGAAAATTAGTGAACTGGATTATCAAATGTGGGAAAAAAGAGGAGGGGAAAAATTATAAATTTAAAGGGACAAAAAATTGAAAGGACATGGAACAATAAACTACTCTTGCATATGCCAAACAGGAACTATAGTGAAAAAGAAGAGAGAGAATGCACTGAGATGTTATTTCAAAGAGATAAATGACAGAATGTTGCTGACCTGATGCCATGGAACCTCAGATTTATAAAGTAAAAGGAGACCTGACTGGTGTGTCTCGGTTGAGTCATCCCACAAAGCGAAAAGTGACTGGTTCAATTCCTGGTCAGGGCAACTGGTCTCCAGTTGAGGTGCATGTGAGAGGCAACTAATCGAATTTTCTCTCACACATCAATGTTTCTCTCCTTTTCTTTCTCCCTCCCTTCACTTCTCTCTAAAAATAAATAAAACCTTTTTTTAAAAAGGAAAGTATGAGGAGTTATGGCTGTGAAAAAAAATTGACACCTAAATATAGCTTAGATAAACTGGAAACCTCAAATTGAAAAAGGAAATCTAAAATATGTGAGTTGGAGGGTTCTGATCAAGATAGGAATGTAGGTAAGTGTGGGACTGGAATCCTCTCACAACCGTATCAAAATTACAACTAAACTACAGAAAAACCATCATTCAAAATTGCCTGGAATCTAGCCAAACAGAAGTCTAACACCTAAGGATATAAAGAAGCCACAGTGAGATTGGTAGGAGGGCCAGAGACTCAGAGCCAGCTGATCTCACACCTAGTGTGGTAGATAAAAATCAGGAGGAATATCTCAGATGCAGAATATCTCAGTCCTCCCTGAGGAATGAGGTGTCTCAGCCACTGCCCTGCACCCCTAGTCTAGGGTTCCTGTGCTAGGAAGAGAAGTTCTCATAACTTTTGGCTGTGCAAACAGGTAGGGATGGTGGCTGGGAGAAATGGAGGGCTTCTGGAGCCCCAGCTGTTTTTCTTAGAGGGTCTGTACATGTACTTACTCAGACTTACTCATTATGATCTCCAGCACTGGGGCACCAGGGACGCACAGGGACGCACAGGGAAGAACTGAGCTGTCTAGCATCAGGATGAGAGCTGGAGGGGCAGCTTCCTCCCAGACAGAGTTCTGAGAGAGGCCATTGTTCCTTTTCTGGGCCTTCCTCCCATAAAGCCAGCAGGCAGGCAACGTATCTGACACTCCATCAACCTGGTTAATTTAACACCATTCAAACAGTCCTGGTTTGTGGGCTCAACCCAATCCATTTGTGGTGGCTTTTTTCATAAAAACAGCCTGTTTTGGCTCATCCTTTGGATTTGACTAAATCTGTCAAATGAGCTGCATGTGGCCTCAGTGTGTCCCATACCTATTGCCAAGTAGCCCCAGACCCAGCACTAGTGGCAGCTGAGCTTGATTTGCACCTTGGCCTCTCCTGGACACCTAAAGACCCAATACAAGCCAACTGCACATTGTTTTGTAGCTCATTCCAGGTGGGCTCAGGAAGGGTATGGGTAACAGCTGAACTTGGCCTGCACCTCCCAGGAGGCCCTAGTGTCAGTTAACCTTGTGGACGGCTTCAGACCATGTTGAAACACCATCCAACCACCTCCACAAGTGACACGCTCAGTGGTCGTGAGGGCTCTGCTGAAGTGGTTCCTGCTTTATGGTGTTGGTGCCTGCACAGCTGATTCTCCACTGTGGTCATAGCCAATCCTTGCAGCTAATTGGCACTGGGGTTAATCCTCCCACTGATATGCCAACAACAATCAAAGCTCAACTCAACAAGAAGTTGTACATGGCCACACAGGTAGTGCACCTGGAGTGCCTGGCTTGGGTGATTGGGGAGGCTATGCCACTGGACCTGAAAGGACACCTGCTACGTAAGGCCACTCTACCAAGCCCCGGAGATATGGCAGCTCACATACATAGAAATAAACACAAGGTGGCAGGCAAAAAGAGGAGACAAAAGAAATATGTCCCAAAAGAAAGAACACACCAAAACTTGAGAAAAAGCACTAAAAAAATGGAGACAGCCAATCTGCTAAATGAAGAGTTCAAAACACTGGTTAAAAAGATGCTTAATGAACTTAGGAAAACAGATGAACTTAGAACATTGCCAAAGAGAAAGAAACATAAAAACAGAGATAAAATACATGAAAAAGAACTTGTCAGAAATGAGGATTGTACTGGCTAAGATGGAGAATACAGTATAGGGAATCAACAGTGGAGCAAATGAAGCAGAGGGTTGAATTAAAGATTTGGAAGACAAGAAAGCAGAAAACAACCAAACAGAACAGCAAGGAGAATAAAGAATCCAGAAAAATAAGGATAGCAAAAGCAGCCTCTGGGACAGCAACAGCATCAAGTGTATCCATGCCAGAAGAAGAAGGAGATCAAGGAATTGAAAACCTTTGTGAAAAAATAATAATGAAAAACTTCCCCAACCTGGTGAAGGATATAGACATACATATTCAGGAAGCACAGAGAATCCCAAACAAGATGAATTCGAAGAGGTCTGCGTGACACATTGTAATTAAAATGCCAAAGGTTAGAGACAAAGATAGAATCTTAAAAACAGCAGGAAGAAAGCAGTTATCTACAAAGAAGCTCGCATAAGACTCAGCTGATTTCTCAAC